GATGTACAAAAGAACCATAAAATAATTAACAAAATGTCAGGAGTAAGGCCATACCTTTCAGTAATAAACCTGAATGTAAATAGATTAAATTCCCCATTGAAAGATATACACTGTCTGAATGGAGTAAAAAACAAGACTCAACTGTATGCTGCCTACAGGAAACTTACTTCACCTGTAAAGACACACAGACTAAAAGCAAAAGAATGGAAAAACATATTCCATGCAGATGGAAACCAAAAATGAGCAGGATATATTTATATTAGATAAAGTAGACTTTAAATCAGAAACTATAAAAGAGACAAAGAAGGCCATTATATAATTATAAAGGGATCAATTCAGCAAGAGGATATAATAATTATAAATATATATGCACCCAACATTGGAGCACCCAAATATATAAAGCAAATATCGAGTCTATAGGGAGAGATAACCCCAGTACAAAATAGTTAGGGACTTCACACCTGTTGTCAGCATTGAACAGATCATCTAGACAGAAAATGGACAAAGAAACATTGGAATTAAACTGCACTGTAGAACAAATGGACCCAGTAGACATTTATAGAACATTTCGTCCAACAAATGCAGAATACACATTCTTCTCATCAGCACATGGAATGTTCTCCAGGATAGACTACATGTTAGGCCACAAATCATGTCTCAACAAATTTAAAAATATTTAAATTATGTCAAGTATCTTTTCAGACCACAATGGAATAAAATTAGAAATCAATAACAGGAGAAACTTTGGAATCTGTACATATACATCGAAATTGAACAATATGCTCCTGAACAACCAGTGGGTCAAAGAAGAAATTGAGGGTCCTCAGCAGGACCCTCAATGTTGCTTGGAAATCTTATACTATTTCTTTCAGCATTTGATTTTCCACTCTCCACACGGAACATTTCAGGTGTTTTTCGCTCTCAATAAACATGTGACTCCTATTCCACCCCTCATTTTTGTGGATGATCTTACTTCCAGTTTTCCTAAGAGAATGGAAGCCATTCCCTCAGGAAGGCATTCCCTCAGTTTTATGGCCCAGATTTTAAACTTGTCCATCTTTTCCACCCTTCTGTTCAAAGCAGGAGTGTCCCTCTTGTGAAAGATTGGTGTCTCCATCTGTTCTCTGGGTCCTGTCCTCTTTAATTTTAAAAACCTTGCATGTTAATGATCTCTTCCCCATAATTTTAGTCTTTGTACTGTTTTTTTCCCATGGGCATTTAAACGTGCTTACTCTTCTCCCATTCTAAAATAGAAACTTTAATAACCCATTCCTATCCAGCCACTTTTTTCCTCTTCCTCAACATCTTGAAAAGTCATCTACATGTGATGTTTCTGCTTGATCACCCACCATTAGCTTCCCCTCAGTCCACTCCAATTGGTTTCTGTCCCTACCTCGCCAGCAAAACTGCTTTTCTTAAGGTCATTATTCACCTCCATTATGCTAAATGCAATGGACACTTCATTCATTCGCTTATTTGGCTACTTAGCATTTAACACCACTGCCTATTCCTTCCTACTCTGTCTTCTTACCTCGCCAACCACTTCTCAGAATGAATTTGCCAGTTCATCCTCCAGTTTGCATTGCACACTGTCCTTTTATAGCTTTTACTTTCATTCATTCGCTTATTTGGCTACTTAGCATTTAACACCACTGCCTATTCCTTCCTACTCTCTCTTCTTACCTCGCCAACCACTTCTCAGAATGAATTTGCCAGTTCATCCTCCAGTTTGCATTGCACACTGTCCTTTTATAGCTTTTACCCTACTATAATTAGAATAATTGTTTAAACTAGGCTGCCTTTTTCATACTTGAATCTTTAGCCAGTGCTGGGCATGTAGTGATGCTCAATACATATCTGATGAATGAATGAAAGAAGAGATGGGAGTGAATCAGAATATATCATGAAAATTATTCCATGCTTCAGAGTTGTAATGAGCTTTAATTAAATTAGGTTGAACTGTATGAAACTGCCAGTGTTTGGTTACTTTTGACTTATGAGAAGGCAATTTATATGGTAAAAGCTAGTAATTGTGCTAATTTGGAGAAAGACTTGAGTTGTTTTGATCTTTTTGTATATGTGTATATTGTATTCAATTGAAGCTTAATGTTAAATTTGTGTATATTATGATGATTTGTAGATATATTTTCTTTTAGTTCATTTTCAGGTCCTTGGAAAGTACCATATGGTAATTTACTGCTTCATTTTGTAGTACTAAATAGTACCCATCCTGTGATAAGACAAAAGCAAGATAACTTTGACTTTGTGGACTTTAAAGTTTTCATTTTTGCTTTTTTTTTTTTCCTCTTTGCCTCTCAATATTCACCTCTTTAATATATCTAGTACTTAAAGACGATATACAAAGCAGTTCATGATTTCTAGTAACTTTCATTCTAAAAGTTATTGATTTATTTGGCCAACCTACATTGTTTTGAGATTTAACCACTTTAATCTACAGAAAGAGAACTTACTCTGGAAGTTGAGAGGATGAGGCTAGAACATGGAATAAAACGTCGAGACAAGTCACCTTCTCGTTTAGATACATTTCTGAAAGGCATAGAAGAAGAACGAGATTATTACAAGAAAGAGCTAGAAAGACTGCAACACATAATACAGCGAAGATCTTGCTCTACAAATTATTGTGCACGTGAAAAAAGTACAATGTTTAAAGCATCAGAAAAGGTAATATCCCTTTATAAAAGTAATTAATAAGGCAAGAGAATTTCTTTATGAATAACTTTTTTGTTTCATTATTGTATTAAATGTAACTTTATTCATACTTGCTTTTAAAAAGTCCTAATTTTGATTTTTGTTTTCTTCCATGACCTGTACTGTAGGAACACTCCATTAATTAGGGAAACTAACTAAGAGCAAAGTGTAACTTACTGATTACTGGTTAAGTAAGGAAAGGTTGAATAGCTGAGTTGTGGGAGAAGTGCACAGGCATCTGGGCTTCCAGAAACTGGAACCCAGAGACTTATGCTGCAGACTTTCCTCTTTTTCTTAAGTTTATTTTCTGTATCAGCTGCATTTTCTCTCTTGTTAGCGGAGTGTCCATATGGCAGGCAACATGGCTTCATGTCATTCCCAGCCTTGGACCAGTCAGGAACGTGTGTCACATTCTCCTGATCAGGCATTGTCCGTATTAGCCATGCTGAGGGAGATGATAGAAATTGGAAGTGGGTGCTGAGCAGAATATTCTGTTTGTCCACTTCAACCACATTTGCAATTTGATAGTCTAAAGATATTCACTTTGTATATTATTTTCTGATTGCATCTCCCATTGTGTGTATTATTTAAGAGAGATTAAAATCATGTGTCTCTATTTTAGGTCTTAATTGTTTTTAATGTTTTATGAGTATCATTTGAGTTATTTAGATTTTCTTTATTTAAAGCTTTGAAGTTGTAGAGTATTTAAGAGAGATTAAAATCATGTGTCTCTATTTTAGGTCTTAATTGTTTTTAATGTTTTACGAGTATCATTTGAGTTATTTAGATTTTCTTTATTTAAAGCTTTGAAGTTGTAAGAGTCCTCTGAAGGCTTATATGGCTATCTAACATTATCTACACCCTAGGTAAAATTCGGGGAAGGTGGAGGGGAAGTCATTAAAACTCAAAATGTTTGATTTCAGACTTAGCTGAATTCACCAGTTTTGTAATCTTTTCCCTGAAGGTCTTTTGTCTGTTGTCAAGCAATTTTGCATCTTCTGATTAGACTTTGTTTTTTAACCTCATTGGCTAATGGCTGGATTTTGACTTACAGTTGTCATTGTAAACACTATACTGTATTATCTCTTATAAGCGGAATGAATTGGTAGGAAAATGCAATGCAAGTTAGTTTACATTTTACTTAATTGTTTAAGTTCCATAAATACTTGGGACTCAGGTTAAAAATAAGTCACCAAATTGATCATTTTCATTGTATAGAAGAATCTCCCATAAAATGGTAGATCAATTTAATCAAGTATTTATTAAAAAGCACTAAGTAGATAAATATCTCAGTTTTTTTTTTTTTTTTTTTTTTAAAAAATGACCGGTAAGGGGGTC